AGAAAATTCAAAATACAGTTTTATTCATCAAAAGTGATATTGTCCCCTTCAAAATGATATTCTCCCCATCAACTGCAACGCACTTATGCCAGCGCTTGATCCAGCTCTCGAAACATTTCTGGAATTCTATTGTCGGTATAGTCATCAGAACCGTTTTTTCTATTATCTTCTTTCGGCTGTTAAAACGCGTTCCCCGTAATGGTTTTTTGACTCGAACAGAAAAAAATCGCAGGGAGCCATATCAGATGAATTCGATGGCTATGGTATTCGTTTCGTTCTTGGTCAAAAATTCATTAGTTGTTGCAAATTCAACTCCATTTTTAAAACTGTAAAAAATCGAAAATACGTGCAGAGGTAGACGTACTCAAGACGGCGTAACTTTTACAAGTGTCAAGCTATGGTAATAAAATTTGGTGGGAATGTCAATGATAGATGTGGCAACCAAAAAAACAGAACTCAAATCAGCTGACTCAGAGCATCACCTGGTAATAATTCCGGGAACTTTTTGATCAAGATGTAAGTTTTAATAAATTGTGGTAATAGTATTCCTCCCATTAATCCAAAATAGTATAAATATGAACACGCAATAGTTTACGAAATATTTAATTGTTTATGATTTTAAACAATTAAATGCAATTAAATACCCTTCGCCTCTTATTGATGTATGCCGAGCGGCCGAAATTGGCGAGAAAACATAAATGGAAAAATTTTCATGTATTAAATTAACATATAGATGTATTTAATCATTTTTTATTACTATGTATAAATATGTATAAATAAAAATGATTATATGATTATAAATAAAATATGTATTCAAATGTTAAATCCTTAATTCTTTTTTTTGTAAAATTACTTGCTTAGACAAGAAAAATAAATATAATGACAATAATGAGAAAACATTAAAAATAATGAAAAGGATCATTTTTGTTAAAATTGTTTCCTTTAGAAACAATCCAGTTTGGAGTAAAAAAAATTACATCTATAGAATTGTATATAATTATACATTAGTAATTTTTTTACATTTCTCTAAACTTAATTTTTTCCAAATTATCCTTTTAATTATTTTTAATATTTTCTTAGTATTATTATTTTTTTTCTTATATTAAATTGTAGTTTATTACAAAAGAATGAACTGTATGGATATATTTCATATATAATTATATATTTATATTTATATTACATTATTGTTCGGAAATCAGCGTTAAATTGCCCATCTGCGGGCGCACAAGAAGTAGACCCTGTTCTGACTTTGAGAAGTTGCGCATTCGAATGAATGAATATGTTTATACACATTATATGTGTTTATATATATTTATATATTTGTGCATTAAAAATTTTTTACCGGGCAGTGAGATTAAAAAATTTCTCGAGTTCTGAAAAGAAATCTCCAGAAGAGTGAAAAATCTAACTTTTTTTTTGAGAAATCATATAATTTTGATACGCCATTAATACAAAACTTGCAAATTTTTATTGAAAATTATCAATTTTGGGCAAGACCGTAGGATTTCCAGTGCATAAGCCTTCGGGATTCTCATCACAGTTGAAACCTCGCAATCATGATTCTCTCGCTCCCTCGCTCATTCCGTGCCAAATTCATCGAGTGTGTCATTTGATTAGGAAAAAGTTAATTAAATAAAATAAAAATGCGTTGGGGTACCTAAGACCAAAATCTTATCATTAATGATCTGTACTACCACTTATGATTTATTAAATTACTTTTGAATAAGTAGAGATACGGTAGTGTCCTGATATTAAAACAAACGCAGCAAAGTCATGATGATTACATGAATGTATGAAATATGAAAATCATGACAAAAAAAGACAAATTAACAATTAATAATATAAATAATTGAAATGAATAGGTGCTATTGTAAGAACATATTGGAGCATATTAAACGCATATGCAACGCGAACAAATTTAATATGTCTGTGGTGATTATTCAGGAATCTTAATCATGTGTTTTTAATGTTTTCTCATTATTATTATTTTTATATTAAACAACAATAATTTTACAAAAAAGAAAAAAAAAATATATGGATTCATATTTATTCATATATAATATATACAAATATATATGCGTATATACGAATATAATATGATTATATATATTTATATAT